AGGCTCTAATTTCTATATACAAACAAGTGTGAAGGACTAAAACATTAGAAAATAGAAAGACTGTTAACAATGGACTTTGTTTCATGGTATCTGCAATTTTACTTTTTTTTTTTAATATATTTTTTAACATTTATTTATTTTTGAGACAGAGAGAGACAGAGCATGAACGGCGGAGGGGCAGAGAGAAAGGGAAACACAGAATCTGAAACAGGCTCCAGGCTCTGAGCGGTCAGCACAGAGCCCGACGCGGGGCTCAAACTCACGGACCGCGAGATCATGACCTGAGCCGAAGTCGGCCGCTTAACGACTGAGCCACCCAGGCGCCCCTGCAATTTTACTTTTGAGTTCATAAGAATAAAAATGAGTCTTGATCTAATCTACTAATTTGGTCAAAGGCTCCATGACAGACATGAGGCAAACTAAGAATATGAGTATTGTTAATAAAACAGTGGCTCAATCTTCATAGAATAACAGTAAGGTTTTTAAAAAGTTAAAAGAAAAACCTTTCATAAAATACCAAGGATTCCACGGATGATTAATTTTAGCAAAGTGTGTAAAGTTGAACGTATAAAGAATGCATATTAGAGCATTGAAAAATAAAAAGACATATAAACTATATTCAAAGGACACACTGATGTTATTAAATGGTATAGAAAAGTGCTAATAGAATCAAGTTATCAAATGCATTAAAGTCCATAAAACAGAGATTCATGGCATTAGTGATCCCAAGAATAGTAAAGATTTCATAAAACTCAGATGCATTGCTTTCCAAATTATAGTTTATACATTGTTAGATCACTACACTTAGGAAGTCAGGATTTGGAAATGGTTGGGATGTTTAGAATAACAGTTTTCAACTCTTTTATTACTATTGGTTCTTTTATTTACAACATTGGTCACTCATCTTTAAAATATGTACAACAATTCACAGAAATAAGCTAAACAAGGTAATGTACAAATATTTTTACATAATTCATTACTAGTATTAGAATAATATGCATGACTTACTACTGATACAGTAAGGAGCATCATTTCAATATATCAAAGTGCACATACATTGTTCCATGGTAGAGGTTATCTGGAGAAGCTTATTTGTCCTGCTTTCCCTACAGTCCACCTTGGTGATCAACTTGGGACCTAAATATATCTACTGCAGGGGACCTAGGTGGCTCAGTCAGTTGAGCATCTGATTCTTGATTTTGGCTCAGGTCATGATCTCACAGTTCATGGGATCAAACCCCGTGTCAGCCTCAGTGCTCACAGCTATCTACTGTGCCATGGAGCATGTGTTTGGTTTAGTAGTTCCAACAGGTATCTTCCATGGACAATAGTTTTTTGTGAAATATTAATAGGTATATTATTATACCTATTATTAATATAATCAAGTAGATCTGGGAAATAAATTATACCTTTCTATAGATTCACAATACACATTGATATGTTAACAGCTCACAGGAAAAAAAGAGATTTTAATCCACTGCTTATGATAATTGAGCACAGAACATTTTTCTCTGTCATATTCCCATTAGCTTCTGGCAGAGCAGTATTCAATAGAATACTAATATGGGAAGGCCATGATAAATATCAACAGGTATTAACAGGTAATGGTCTACAAAAGGAGCACCATGACCAGAAAATGCATATTAAAAACCATAAGACACTGTTGGGGGTTGAAATAAATCCCCTTCAGAAAGGTATGTTCTAGTACTAACCCCTTGGTGATAAGCCTTTACAGAGGTAATTAAGTTAAAATGAGATCCTTAGGATAGGATAGGCCCTAATCCAATTGACTGGTGTCTTTATAACAAGGAGAAATTTCGACACACAGAGAGACACACACATTGAGGGGAGATGGTGTGAAGTATGAAGACACAGGGAGAGTGCCATCTATACGTGGAGGAACACCTGAGACTATTAGAAACTAGAAGAGAGAAATGGATTCTCTCCCTCACAGGCTTCAGAAGGAACTAATCCTATGGACATCTTGATTTTGGAACTTTGTGGCCTCCAGGACTTTGAGTCAATAAATTTCTGTTCTTGTAAGCCAGGCAGGTTGTGGTAGTTTGCCATGGCAGCCTCAAGAAACTATTACAGACACATCATTAATTCTTATCTTTTTTTTTTTTTTTTCTCTTTTTTTTTCAACGTTTATTTATTTTTGGGACAGAGAGACAGAGCATGAACGGGGGAGGGGCAGAGAGAGAGGGAGGCACAGAATCGGAAACAGGCTCCAGGCTCTGAGCCATCAGCCCAGAGCCTGACGCGGGGCTCGAACTCACAGACCGCGAGATCGTGACCTGGCTGAAGTCGGATGCTTAACCGACTGCGCCACCCAGGCGCCCCAATTCTTATCTTACCTTATATTCACATGCACTTGAGCAACAGTAATAATATTAATCCTAAAGCCTAATTAAGAGAAATACAGGAAGAAGTTTCGTGTCTTCACTAAATATGATAAGTATACTTACTAAAATAAGGCTGTAAATTAAAAAGTATCCTGGACCCAATCACTCTCTTTGGAATTGCTTTTACTTTACAGGTTTTGTTTACCTACTTCTTTGGATAAATGGTCTTGATTATAGTGCTTTTTTCATTCAACTATTTTGCTCTTTCAAAACAAGAAATCCTTTCCTACTAAATGACAAAATACAGTGAAAAACATCTGCTCGCATTTTCCCCTTATCTTGCAAATCTATAGAAGAAAACATACATTTGAAATTCATAATTATCACTAACCAACTTCAAAAAGGAATACAGAAGAAGTATAAATGAAAAAGAAATTGTGTGAAGAAAGAATTGTACTCTGAAAATAAGCTTGAAGCCTCATCCAAAAGTGTAGTTGTTAGGAAAAAGCAGTAAGAAATTAGTACAATGCTTCTGAGACTCCTTTTCAAGCAAGATATTCAAGAGGTAGAAGAGGATAGATCTAAAAATATCTTAATTGCTCTATTCCTTCCTGCCATGTCCAAGACTCAGAGAGTTTGGGGGCAAGTACGTGGAGATCTGTTACTATTGTGTGGGATATGTGAGTTAATTTTATGTGTCAACTTGACTGATCAGATATTAGGTTAATCATTTTTCCTGGGTGTATCTGTGAGGGTGTTTTTGTACAAAAGGAACACGTGAATCAGAAGACTGAGTAAAGCATACTGTCCTTCCCAAAGTGATAGGATTCATCCAAATCACCAAAGGCCTGAGTTGAATAAAAGGCTGCATAAGAAAGAATGCTTTTTTTTTTTTTTTGCTTTTTAGCTGAGACATTGGTTTTGTCCCTTTGGACTCAGATTCAGATTGGGACTGGAACTTATACCATCAGCTTCCTGGTTTTCAGGCCTTTAGACCCAGACTGAAACCATACCACTGGCTCTCCAGCTTTCCAGTTTGACAACTGTAGATCTTAGACTTCTCAGACTCCATAATTGTATGACCCAATTCCTTATAGTAAATCAATCTATCTATGTCTGTTTCTCTCTTTCTCTCTCTTGAGATAGACAGATAGATGGATATAGATATATAGATATAGATTAGATACAGATCTTTTTCAGAATAATGACACCTCATTAGGAAAATCGAAAGGGTTCTATCCTATTGGTTCTGTTTCTCTGAAGAACCCAGATTAATACAGGATAGAAGCCTTGGTATGTGAATTTCAAGAATTATGCAAAAGGAGGAAGATGATAACATGGCTTCCTAAACATGCCCTTAATATCCTGTGTGTACTCCCATGTTTACACTAATGTACTAGATTCAAACTGCTTACATAGCATCTTCTTAACTAGAGAAAGGGTCTTGAATGATAGTTATCTAAGAGTCTCCTTTTTTACAAGTGACTTGTTTGGCTAGTTGCACTGCTCAGTAAGTTGTTATTGAGTAAACAAACGCATTAGCAAATAACGCCAGGTGTGGGACACCTAGCTGGTTCAGTTGGAAGAGCATGTGACTCTTGACCTCGGGGTTGTGACTTCAAGCGTCATGATGGGTATAGAGATTACAAAAAATAATAATAATAAATGAACCAAGTAAATAAATCAGTAACTCCAGGTGTATAAATTTCAAGTAGGCTAAATACTAGCAAGTTGATGTCATCTGATCATTTTATTTTTTGTAGAAAAAGAGATGATAATTTTCCTTTCTTTTAGAACTAAAGTTTAACACTGTATAAATATAAATTATTGTTTAGTGGAAAGGCTGAAAAAAGTATTAATTGTAGCTTAGGTTAACTATACCTCAAAACCGTATCTTATTCCACAGCACACATAATATAAGTCAAACTTTTTTCTCCCTAAGAATAACCTAATATTATATGACAAAGAATCTGAGCTTTAAATGTATCGGATTCTAATCATGTGTTAAACAATGGTCTTGTCATAAAATGTCTTAAAACTATTTGAGATTCAATTAAATGGCTACTTCTCAAATAGTATAGGCCTTTGGGTAGTCGTGCATAAAGAATCACAAGTTTAGCCATATTAAATTCAGAAAAAATAAAAGCCCTCAATATAGTCAAATGGAAAAAATAACATATTTGCCATTTTAACTATGTAATTTGTCTTTAAAGGACAATTGTAAGTGACTTGAGCTAGGTGAGTATAGTTTTTAACTCACTTTTCTTTTTATATGCTTATCACATATAGAGAACTATGAAAAATCCTCTACTTGCTATAGTTCTATTTTTTTTTTTTTGCCTCTGAGGAGCTATAAGAAATTTATTCCCAATATTAAGCCAAAATCTTCCCAAATAATTTTATTTTTTACAATTTTATTTTTTTCCAAACAATTTTAAAGTAGTGGATAAATATTTACTTACAAGCAGCAAATTTTTTTTGTTACTTTATTATCCTAAGAAATCTGAGACTCAAGACCAACCGATGATACATTTTTATACACGTAATTAAATTCAGGAAAGATAAATGATAAGCAGTGATTTGTAAAGGGAATGTTTACTTTGGTATATCTTTATCTTTGCAAGGTTATTACTAAAGAAATGATTTAATGTTCACCTTTAGTTGTAGCGCCTTCTCTAAGTTTTCAATCTTTCTTTCAGCTTTCCTCAGCTTCCTCAGCTCCTCTGAGTCTGTGAAAGAACTCTTTGGGGACAAAGACCTTGAACGTTTCACAGGTGGTTCCTCGAGAATAAAACAAGGACATGGTTGAACTAGTTGGAACACTGGATTATGAAAGACATGCAAAATTAAAGAACAAGTAATTTTGAATACTAATAATGAATTATAAAAAAAATCCTGCATGGAATACCAGAGAAATAACAAGCGGAATTACCACAGTGCTACCGCTAAAGGTTTCTCTGTGACTCGTTAATGAGAATATTCATTTACATTTACATTGTTTCTTTCAGAATAATGATGTCCCATTAGGGAAGACTAAAGGGTTATAGACTCAGAAATGCAAGAAACCTCATTACAAAGGAGGGGATAGAGGCTGGTCTAATTGCTCTATAAGGGTCCAAGGTTACACTTGATAGGACAACCAGAAACAAGAGGGAAAGGATTTTTTTCCCTTTGAAATAGTTTAACACACTGTGAAGTTGAAGGAACAATATGCTTGAGGAATATAAATACAACAGACAGTAGATCTTATACCATAATGACCATATGGTCATTAACTATAATGTGGCTAACTAGAGACAAGAATGTGTGTTTATATTATGTACAGCTTCATATACCAATCTGGAGAAGGAATATGTGAGAGCAACTATTAAGCTGGGCAACATATTGTTCCTACTTACTGCATGTCCTTATGAAAAAGAAAGAAAATTTTGTTCCAAATATCCCTCTCATTTTCTTGACTTTTGTTAAAAGCAACGAAACATCAAAGTGGTTCGTTTTTTAACTTCAGCAATGTAGCAAGCAACCAAATTAGACCTATAATGTATCTCCATTTTAGGAATGTTTTCTTTCATTTAAATAAAGCTCAATACTCTGAAACTACTCCAAAATGGCAAGAAATGTTTAATGCACTTATGTTTAAATAAATAAATAAATAAATAAATAAATACATACATACATACATACATACATACATACATATATAAAGCTCACTCTTCTGAAAACTACTAATAATATTACAGGGAGTAAATAAGACTATAATAGTAACTTGGATCTTTTTAAATACTTCCTTTATTAAGACAGTTCTATTCATAGAAAAAATGGAAAGAATTAAAAACAATTATCTTGAAAAACACAGTATTCTGTTTATAAAAAAATTTTCTATGCTGAAGTAACAAGTGTGAGAAAAATATGTCTAAATTTTCTTACTTTTCTATGTATCTAGAATTTACATATTTACAATGTTATACAATAACATATTTACAACGTGATATTATAAAATTTTTATATTGGTCAATGTTCATAGACTCTCTTGCAGCCTAACAGGAATACATACTATAGTGTATATATGCTGTAATACAAATACTACAAAAAAGGAAAGTTAGACACTAATAAATGAGAAACATGCTATGGAAAATTTGCTTATTTTCTGTGTTGCTACATGTTTAAATATGAAATTATAAAATTCCATAAATTGATGTTAAATTCCACTTTATAGTTTATATCTACATGGGCAGTATTTTAAATATCATATCTGAATGAAATAGAAACATTAAGATATATTTTTATTTTAACAACTAATGCTACTTTAAAATGATTTTTTACCTAGATTAGCTTAGCTACAAATTAGATACATGAGGCATATACTTAGCAAAACTTTTTAACCTAAGAATGTTAATCTACTGCAAACAGCTATACTACTACTAATATATTTAATTAAATTAGGAATATATTGTTTAGTTTTTAAAAGGGGAAAACTCTCTACTCACAACAATTTTTTATCAAGCATTTGGCATATAACATTTTTCAAGCTTCCAGAAATATAAGCAGAGAAGTAAATGCTGCTGTTTTTTAACTTCATTGCTTGTCTTGCCAGCTTCATCCTGACAAATTCACAAAATGACAAAATGTCCCTACCTTATGTTTTCCTTCAGTACTTGTCCAGATGCCCTTCTCTGAGGAATCCTTGTTGGTAGATTTGTTCTCTGAGAGTTTTTCATTTGCTATTTTTAGTTTTTCCTGTAAATACTCGATTTCAGACTTCTGTGAGACCATTAAAGTTTCTAAGCTCGATAAAGATGGCCGTTGAGATACCTATTAAAAAAAAGCGTTAAGTGCAAATATATATGCATGTTTGTATATTATTTATATATGTGCAAACACTTATCCATAATATTACATTATATAAATAAGTATTCAGAGAAGGAAAATTTCATTTCAATAATGAACTATAAACTAGAATTAGCTAAACTTCTATTATCCTAATAGAATGGCATTTTCCAATAAAATAGCCAAGAGTCTGTATAAATATTTTCCCAAATAATATTGCCATACAGATTTGCCGAAGAAAAAATTTAAAGCATGGTCGCATGAAATATACCACTCATAAGTAAATTAATTATTTCAAAAATACAATTATACACATATGTATTTCTTCACAAAATATTCCAGCCACCATTTGATCATCATGAGTCATATAATACCACTGAATATAAACCTGGTAAAAGGAAACCAACAGCACTATAGGTCTAATTGTCTTTCAGTGTATCATAATTTAATAACATCAACACAAAAGACTCTGATATTTTCAGTCAATACAGTCCATTATATTCTCTCTTAAAATTTATTACTATGTCAGATAATCTGTTAATGGTAAGCATCACATTGTAACTATAAGAAAAAAAATCACAGAAAAATTAAGTATGTAGGATATCTTTTAGAAATGTTAGTTCATAAAAACCAGCATTTTATAAAATTCTACTACCATCTCAACTGAATATATTTGAGACCATTAAAATCCATGCACATACTGTATTTCAAATTAAGCACTCCACTTACAAAAAACAAAAACACTAAATCATAGTGCAAACAAAGTTTTTGTTGATTTCCAGCAAAGAAAGTCAAGATTACAATCACAAGATTCTAATATTGGATATAGAGCAAGCAGCCCTGAAAATAGTTTCATTTAAAATGTGGAAACCTTTTCCATCCTAAATGATATTCCTAAGGGCTATCAGAAGAATACACATGTTTAACTTTTTTGAATCAATGTTGGAAAATTTTACCCTTTTCTGGTTTTAACTTTTTCTTTTTTTAGGGAATAGGGAAAAAAACTGCCCTAATTCAAACTTCTAATTATTTATGAGAGAGGTCATCTTTGATTTATTTACATTGTTACACTTTTGTCTATTTAAATCACTTGATTTGTTTTCCAACCGTCATTTTATTATATTGCTAAATATTTTTCTCAGCGTTGTTTATATTGTAGTTACCACATTTACAATATATTACTTACTCCAGTACCGTTCTTTAAATATCAAATTAAAATACTTCAAGCACTTTTATTTCAAACTCTAAATGATTTTTCCCTATTCTTTCCTCCCACCTGTAATCACCGTATGACTATTATTTATTTTATTTTCTCTTCCTATCGTGTAAGCAAATTTACAATGTTTATAACTATTCCGTCTGATTGGACTGGCAATCTGAACAGTTTTCAAAAGCTACCTGCTCTTATCCAGGTTCCTTTAAATACAATTATAAAGAATATATTAATATCTTATCATTTACCGAAGGTATTTTTAAAGAAGTTGTTCAAGGTGAAACAAAAATTTAGAATAAAATGGAAATAACATAACTTTAGTTTTATTGGTGTATCCAGTAAGAAATCCCATGTTCTTTAAATGAGTTTAAATAGTTTATTTATTTAATAATGAATTATATGTAGTAGATATGAATATAAAAATACAAATATCCAGTCAAGAAGCTGCAATGATAAATTCAAATATTCATGAAGACATTAAAAATGCTCCAACAGTGGATACTATATCATCATCATAAATGATTTCATATTTAAGGAGCAGTCCTTCAGAATTCTTCAACAAACAATAACAGAACTTCAAAAACCGTAATAGTGATTAACTCAAATTCACATAGAAGCTGGGAAGATAATGTAAGTAAATAAGTAAAATGGGTTGTTTTCGGTTTGTTTTAAAATTATAGCTTTAGAATTCATTCAACAGAGATGCTTTATAGACGTATTAAACATGTATATAACATTCTTTACATCCACAAAACAACTTCTACATTCTCCCGGGTTTTTTTTTTTTAATCTTATCCTCTCCCCCTCTTTCCTTTTATCACTTTTGCTAGAGATATATGCACAATAAGTATTTTCATATTTCTCTTAATATGACCACTTTTAAAAGTATAAGTAAAATGAAATGTCAAATGACACTGCCTCACCTCAGGTCATAACAAGGGTATATGGCAACAGCAACTCAGCTCCAACCGTTTCCCTAGAGGAATGAATGTGGCCCACTACTGCCAGAGCTGCTGATTTTTCAAAAGAAGGAATCAGGACTTCTAACGGAAATCTCCTAATTTTAAGATGTTGGCCAGACTCAGTTTATGACTTCTGTATTTTGAGAACATGGTTGTGGGAGTTATAAACCCCTACAAATTTTCTAGAGAAATTTTGAAATATGCATCAAAGCCATCAAAGCACATAAAAGCATATCAAGCTTTTGGCTTAGCATTCTACTCATGCTGAGGGTTGATACAGAAAGATATCCATGACAAAATGTTAAATGAGAAAAGCAAGTTACCAACGAATATATTATATAGAAACAGATTTCATCAAATGTGCATAGGAAAAAAATAAACCTTAAAATGTTTTACTTAGTGTTATTTCTTAGTGGAAAAATTATATGTGCATTATTTTTTCCACATTTATTTGAATTAATAAATTTTAATAAATTTTAAATTTTATTAAAAGTAATAAATTTTACAATGAACACATCACTAAAAGTTTTTCAAAGTGTAAATTTTTTCTTCAAATAAAAGGAATAAAAGTTGACTATAAAATTTTCAGGTTAGATAAGAGAAATATAAATGGGAAGTCTTTCTATAATTTCATCCCTTACAGTTCACTAGTGATAACTTTGCGCTATACTACTCAGATGTTAAAAAGAAAAGGAGAACCATTGTAATTCTGCCCTTTAATCTGCTTTTTAAAATAGGCTTAATTTTTTAGAGCAGTTTTACACTTACAGAAAATCTAAGCAGACGCTACAGAGAGTCCTGTACCTCCCACTCTCACCCATCCAGGTTCCCTATTATTAACATCTAAAATTAATATTTTGTAATTTGTTACAAGTAATAAACAATATTCACTTTATTTTTAACTGAAGTCCATAATGTATTCAAATCTCCATACTTTGTACATAACATCCCTTTTCTGTTCCAGGATCCCATCCACAATATCACATTACATTCACCTGTCATGCCAGCAACTCTTGGCTCTGACAGTTTTTCAGACTTTCCTTACTTTTGATAACACTGATAGTTTTCATGAGTAAATGATATGCAGTGCACTGTAGGATACCCCTCCACTGGAATCTGTCTAAATTTTTCTCATGATTAGACTGGGGTTATGAGTTCAGGGAAGGAAGATCACAGAAGTAAAGTACCATTTTCATTATATCATATCAAAGGTACATAGTATCAACATGGTTTGACTATTGATGTTGACCTTGATCACCTAGATTAAGTAGCATTTGTCAGACTACTCCACTGTAAAGTTACCCTTTTGCCCCCCATCCATACTATACTAAGCTTGCTTTTAAAACTTAATAATTATATACATATATTTAGTATATGAGAAATGTATGTATCTTTACTTGTCATTATCATTTCAACCATTGCATAGAAGGCTTACTGAAATCAAGACTATCAGTCCCCCTGTCTGAGGAAGTTCATTCTGTCTATTGCCCTTAAAAGCCTAGAATGCTTGAAAAGTTTAATTTTCTTACTAAAAGTTATTAGTATGTGTATCAACAGTTTTTTCTCTAATATCGAAAATCCTTGTTCACCTCTATAGTTCACAATCTTAAAAGATAATGAAGGGTATGGTGCTAGACCATAGTTAATCCTGATGAGAAGTGATCAATGGAGTATGTGTCCAAATGCCTCCAACTGGAACTCTCTCTTTAAACTGACCATTATTAATATATAACTTCTCTTTCACATTGATCCACAAAGGTAATTTTGATCAAAAAGTCCTGTAGAAGATGTAGCGTAGAAGGGGACATGGGACACCTTTAAGCTTTGTGTCAATAACTGTTAAGAATTATAAAAATTAAATATCTAATTGTGTTGAAGCAACATCGCATGGCATTATAGAACAGGGGCTGAGTGAATAATGCCTAATAAATAGAAAATTGTGTCAAAGTCATAACGATCACAAAGAATTGTAAGTTAAATTGCTTTCCCTTATTAAATTTTAATTCATCATAGTAATTTGTTTCCTACTATATTAAAATAATAGTAACTACTATTTAGTTAAAAAAAATATTGTGTTCCTAGCTATAGATAAGCATTTCATACATATTATCTTACTTAAGAAATTTACAAATTCCAAACCTGTCAATAATGTATCCTATTGCAAAACAAAACATTTAAAAGGACATGATACCTCAGCAAAGGAAATAATTTCCCCTAATCTCACTGAAAATTAAGTATATATTAAATATACATGTGTGTTTAAAATCTGTAATATGTGAATGCATATAAAATTTCTAACCTGTATACATATGTATCAGAGAAAACTGACATGTTCTCTGAAAATCAACTCAAATCCTCTTGGAAGACATAGCATAAAAACATACAATATATGTTAGAGTAAGTACATATATAAAATTTTACATATATAAAATTTCCTTCTTATGAAATGCCTGAATCTCTACAAAAACTTGACATTTAATTTAAAATTGATTTTAGAAATGCAGAAATATATCTACCACAAACTTATAAAAAACATTGTTGGCTAAATCATCCACCACCTGAAAACGGATGACTAATAACAGTCACATATTATGTTTTAAAAAAAGGAAAAAGTAAAATAATATCAAGTCAATATGACATCATAAATCAAGATAGTCTTATTATAAAAGTTCACAAATGGTATTAAGTGTATCAGCTTAAACTTACACCTCAATTTTAGAAAGACTACTAACTTGAGTAATAAATGACTAATATCAACAAATTCAGCTAGCACCCTCTTTTTAAAAATATAAATATCTGCATTTCTTCCA